CCAAGCTGCACCAGGAGGTGGCTGAACTTACGCCACTGCTGGACGCGGACCCTACCAATCCAGCTGCACTGCCCCAACGCCTGGCCGCCGCGGAAGCCAGTCTTCCCCCCTCAACAGTGGCTGTGATGAAGGTCGGGAGAGAGAAGGGGGACGGGCTGAAGCTGCAACACGCACTGGCGCTGCACGTCCACTCAGCTAAGGCTGTCGCCGGCGTCCGTAGCAGCCGGCGCATGTCCCCGAACCCGCTCATGGGCCACACGCAACGCCTCCTATCCCTCCTCGGACCAGGAGCCGGCGATTGGCTGGCGGCACTGCCCCTGACGAGCGCCCTTCGACTCTGCCCCGCCCACTACTCCCAATCCATCCTCTTCCGCTTGGGCCTCCCCCACCCAATCCCGCGCCAATGCGACTGCACCAAGGCTGTCAAGATCCTGGACAGCCGCTTGCCAAACCACCTGCTGCGCTGTGGGACAGGGAAGGGACGGACGAGCACGCACCATGCCCTGCGGGATGAATGCGCCCGCATAGCCAAAGAAGCAGGTTACACAGTCCACAAGGAAACAGCGCAGTATACGCCGGTCGAAAACCTATTCGCGGACCTCTCGATCCGCGATCCCATCACCGGCCGTATACACATCTGTGACATCACTGTCACCGACCCCATCTCAAAATGCGACAAGTACGCACGAAAAGGGACGGGGTGGGCTGCCCATGTGGCCGCAGACAAGAAGACGGACAAGTATGCAATACGGAATGACTGGGTGGGGTTCATCCCCATGGCGGTCGAGACCTACGGCTGTACCTCACCGGGGGTCTTGGAGTTCCTCAAGATGTGCGCCGACCTGCCTGCCAACCTGCGTTTCAACGCCCCCCCTACCTCAGCGGAAGCAGCCAAGCTGTTCCACGAGTACAGGCAGCGCTGGAGTATCACTCTGCAGCGCGGGCAGGCGCACGCCCTCAATCTGAAAACTCACACGGCCATGGAGGCGGACGAGGCTGGGATAGCGGATGCCATCGAACCCCTAGCTGAAGGTTACCTGTTTCAACTCCTAGAACCCCCGCTTGGACCCCTTGTGGAACAGGCGGGTGGCGAGTAGGATGATTGCCTCACCATCAACCTTACATGCTTGTATGCATAGTGCTTAATAATACAACGGACCATTCGAGAGAGAGAGAGAGAGAGAGAGAGAGAGAGAGAGAGAGAGAGAGAGAGAGAGAGAGAGAGAGAGAGAGAGAGAGAGAGAGAGACCCCTACCCACACCGCCCCCCAACCTGCACCTGGCGGTAACCACGTCCCAACCCAACCCTTAGAGGAAAAATCCCCAGAAACTCTCGCCAAGGACGACACGCTATTCGCCAGCGTTGTAGCCTGGGATCTCACGAAACTACGCGACTCTCGCCACGCACCCCTTTCCCGCCACCTCCCTCCAGACCCACGCAAGCTTTTCGCCACAGCCTTGTTGGCGCCGCTGCTGCGCTTGGCGAAATATCCAGACTCTACCTCTGCTTGGACGGTCGTTCTATTCCTGGCGCGCTTAACACTTCGCCAGCTGTCCCCACGACGTCCAGATTGGAAGGCTGTCAGTGCCCGCCTTCGTCAGTTTCTGTCCGGGGAGTGGGATAAGCTATACAATGAGACAGTGGGCTCACTGACGTGGCCCCAACCACCTAGACACCAGCCCGATGACATTGGTGTCATCGCTAGGGCAGAGGGGTTGGCACGACGTGGCAGCCTACGACGAGCCGTGATGGCACTAGAAGCCACGCCAGTCAGCATTCCCTCCCCAACTGTGCTGGAGGCCCTGCGCGCCAAACACCCACCAGCGCCCGCCTCCCCACCTGACTGGACTTTTCCAGCACCTGACCCCCACCTATCAGCACCATTTGCAGTCTTCTCCAAGGTGCTGGGAAGCTGCGAGATGGGGGTAGGAGCGGGCCCCTCTGGAACCACGTTTGAACACTTACGCGATGCAGCGCTGATCAACCACTCCGTTGGGAAGCACCTTCACGCACTAGTCAACACGATTCTCACGGGAAACCTACCTCCTGCAGTGGCCGAGCTCCTCACCGCCTCGAGATTAATTGCCCTGAGCAAGCCCGATGGGGGGACGCGGCCGATCGCCATCGGCGAAAGCATAACGCGCCTCGCGGCCAAGACGGCGCTTACCTTGACCGCAGGGGCCGCCCGTGAGTTCTTCCTACCGCACCAGTTCGGCGTGGCTGTCCCCGGTGGGGCGGAAGCGATTATCCACATCACACGCACTTACCTCACGGTGAACACAGGAGCTTTGGTCCTGCAGGCTGATCTGGCGAACGCATTTAACAGCGTCAACCGCGACGCCATCATCAAATCTCTTCGGGACTCCACCCTCGCCTCGCTCTTACCGTTAGTTAAACTGCTGTACGGCCTTCCCTCGGCTCTATGTCTGGATGCTGGCTTCTCACACCCACCTCTGCTGAGCGAGACCGGGGTGCGACAGGGAGATCCCCTCGGCCCGTTGTTGTTCGCTGCCGCCATACACCCTGCACTGACGAAAACAGCGCTCACCTTCCCCTCTGTCGTCTGTCTTGCCTATGCGGACGACGTAACTTTCCTTGGAGATGCAGCCACGTGTGCAGCAGCGTTTGAGGACTTCACAGGAAACCTTGGGGAGATTGGGCTGCGCCACAACCCCGCCAAATGCGCAGCCTGGTCCCAGGCAGGCCGACAGGGAGCTGCGCTACCAGTGGGCGTACCTTTCACTGAAGATGGGGTGAAGGTGCTTGGCAGTTTCATCGGTGGCAGTGACGCAACTGCCGCGTTCCTACGTGCCAGCCTCGACACCATGGGCGGGCCGTTGCCCTTAATAGCGCGGATGGAGCCACAGCTGGCTTCCCTTCTGCTTTCTCGGTGCATCTCACGAAGGATCGCTTACGTCGCCCGCACCACGCCGCTTTCAGCCCTGCCAGTCGAGGAGTGGTCAGACTGGGGTAAAAGGCTGTTTGAGACACTGCTCGATGCCTGCGGCATTCGCCACCCACGGGGGGAGGCCGAGATTTCACGTACCTGGGCGCAAGCGTCACTCCCCATCTCGCTCGGCGGTTTAGGTCTCACAGACCCCTCGGTGGAGGGACGTGTTGGGTTTCTCGCAAGCTACACGCAAGCGCAGCACCTGCTCACCTCCATTGATGAGTCGGCGGTCGGCGCCCTGGCGGAAACGCGGATCCAGATGGTGGGGCCCTTCATCAACACGTCCCCGCTCTTTGACTGGCTGGAGAGGTGTGAGGAGTCACTGCCGGATGATGGGAAGGAGCTGCTGCAGAGCGACCGAGTTGATCCCAAGGGCGTCAAGCTGCAGCACGGGCTGGCAATCGCGGTCCACGGACTGCGCTACGCGGAGCAGGTGCAGGCTACACGCATCATGCCTCTCAACCCAATGAGCGGGCACACTCAGCGCATGCTCTCACTCTCAGGGTATGGGGCAGGAGACTGGCTCAATGCAGTCCCCTTCAACTCGACACTACGGCTTGCCCCTGCTCACTTTGCGCATGCGCTGCAATTCCGGATGGGGCTACCCTCCTCAGCTCCAGGCGCGTGTGACTGCCGCAAGGAGACAGCGATCCCAGACAGGCGGCTGCCCAACCACCTGCTGCGCTGTGACACAGGGAAGGGGCGGACCAACACGCACAATGAACTGCGCGATGCGTGTCTGCACATGGCCGCCGACGCTGATTTCATGACTCACAGTGAGACGACCACGTTCTGCCCCGTCACCCTTAAGAAAGCAGACATAGCGATCCGGGACAAGTCCTCAGGGGCGGTGTGGATAGGGGACGTGACCATCACGGACCCCATTAGCACACGGGATCCCAACGCGGTTAAGGGCAGGGGGTGGGCGGCCAGAGAGGCGGCAGAGAAAAAGATCTCCGACTACGAGGGCTCAACGGCCTCGTGGGTCGGATTCTTCCCTCTCGCCGTTGATACCTACGGCTGCCCCTGCGCGGAGGTCCCTCAATTCCTCAAACTTCTGGCCGACACCGGCGCGCGCAGGCTCTTCAACGCTGCCCCCTCATCTTACCAAGCAACAAAGCTGCTGCATCAGTTCCGCCAGCGGTGGTCCGTGGCGCTGCAGCGGGCGCAGTCGGTGAGCTTCATGACGAAGTGCAACTATGCGGCTCAGGTAGAGAACCCACCTGTGGCGCTGCCGGGCGAAGGCATGTCCCTCGGGGACTGCCTTGCCATCCTGGAGCCTGCACTGGAGCTGCCTTAGAGGGTGAACGAGAGTAGGTAGGATATGGGGGTTATAGAGGCTGAGGTGCATTGCTCCTTATAACCTTGTGCATGTCTGTACCGTGCTCGGATCTAATACACGGACCGCTTGAGAGAGAGAGAGAGAGAGAGAGAGAGAGAGAGAGAGAGAGAGAGAGAGAGAGAGAGAGAGAGAGAGAGAGAGAGAGAGAGAGAGAGGCGTGCGTACCTGTAGTAGATTGGAAAACATCGATTGGTGAAGCGCAGCAGCAGAGGCATCATGGACGGGTGCAAGGGGAGGTGGCAGCAGAGAGAGCAGCAGCAGCGAGGCGGCGAGCATGGCAGCAGCAGCGGCGGCGGTGCCCTGCCATGACTTGGGCGAGTCTGATGCCACTCGCTGCCGCCCCCACCGCACCCCCACCACCGATGCCTGCATGCAGGGCAGGGCCGTGGGTTAGGGGTGTGGTTCAGAAGTGTGGGATGGGGAAAGCGATGGGAAGGGCACAACAAGAGCAGGAAGGGACAAGTGGAGGAAGGGGTGTGAGGTGCATGCAGCAGAAGAGCAGAGGGGAGCGGGAAGGGAAGGCAGGAATGACGTGTGTGCACAGAGTGCAGTGCAGGCAATCAAAGCAACCGAGGGCAGTGGAGTCACACACAGCAATGCCCCATTCCCCCCTGCTCCACCCCTGCCCCGCCCCTGCCCCACACCCCCATGCCCCCCTCCCTAATGGACTGGTCCTCTCAGTGCCACGCTCCCCCTGCCGTGACCCACCATGGTATCCCCAATGCCGACACTCAGCAGCCCCGCAAAGGGTGCCACGTGGCAGGCTTGGATTGGCGAGTGCGAGGAAGAGAGGAAGGCGGGCGGGGTGAGGGAGAGAGGCAGCATGCAGGCGAGCAGCAGAGAGAAGTGGCTGCAGACAGGCAGGAGGAGCGGGGAAAGGGGGAGGGCGGAGGTGGAGAGGGGAAGGGGGAGGGGGAGGGTGGAGGGAGTAGGGAGGGGGGAGGGGGGGTGACGAGAGGGGAGGATGTGCACGTGACTGTGAAACAGAGAGAAACAATGACGAGAAGAGAACGGGGAGAAAGGGGCGGACGAGGATGAGGGTGTGAGAGGGAGCAATGAGTGATGGGTGGGGAAGGGAGGGCAGGAGGAGGAAAGGATGAGGAGGCAGACGGGGTTGGCCTTTGGGGGGTGAGAAAATGTTGCCAACAAGCCTAGAAGAGCCCAATGAGCCTAGAAGCTAAGTTGGTCATTTACGCCATTTCAGCCCACGTACACGTAACGTACGCGTACATGTACGTTTACGTGTACGTACGCGTACGTACGTGTACGTATGCCGGGCAGGTCAGAAAAAAAAATATGCGTTGAAATTTCTTTGAAAACAGTTTCCGAAAAAAACTAAAAAACAAAAAATCTTTCGACGACCTGTGCTCTGTTTGAATGTGTGCAAACTGTTCGCGATAGAACATTGCGAACAGTTTGACTCAGATTGCGATTGCTTCGTTTGCAAGGTAAGCGAATGTCACCCGCTCGGCAGTTTCGTCACCGCCGAGCTTCACTGGTTTCGGCGAATCCCAACTTCGAGTCAAACCAATTCGCCGAGTCAAATCTAAATCTACACTACATGATGGAATTTTTACACTGTATGATGGAAATTATGATTACGAGGGAAAAGTATAGTGAAAATATACATATCCGGGCAGCCCAGAAAAAATTTCACCTGCCCGTAAATTAGGCCTCCAACCCAACAGCCGCGTAAACGTACGTACCCGTACACGTACGTACGTAAACGTAAATGACCAACTAAGCCTAGAAGAGCCCAATGAGCCTAGAAGAGCCCAATGAGCCTAGAAGAGCCCAATGAGCCTAGAAGAGCCCAATGAGCCTAGAAGAGCCCAATGAGCCTAGAAGAGCCCAATGAGCCTAGAAGAGCCCAATGAGCCTAGAAGAGCCCAATGAGCCTAGAAGAGCCCAATGAGCCTAGAAGAGCCCAATGAGCCTAGAAGAGCCCAATGAGCCTAGAAGAGCCCAATGAGCCTAGAAGAGCCCAATGAGCCTAGAAGAGCCCAATGAGCCTAGAAGAGCCCAATGAGCCTAGAAGAGCCCAATGAGCCTAGAAGAGCCCAATGAGCCTAGAAGAGCCCAATGAGCCTAGAAGAGCCCAATGAGCCTAGAAGAGCCCAATGAGCCTAGAAGAGCCCAATGAGCCCTAGAAGAGCCCAATGAGCCTAGAAGAGCCCAATGAGCCTAGAAGAGCCCAATGAGCCTAGAAGAGCCCAATGAGCCTAGAAGAGCCCAATGAGCCTAGAAGAGCCCAATGAGCCTAGAAGAGCCCAATGAGCCTAGAAGAGCCCAATGAGCCTAGAAGAGCCCAATGAGCCTAGAAGAGCCCAATGAGCCTAGAAGAGCCCAATGAGCCTAGAAGAGCCCAATGAGCCTAGAAGAGCCCAATGAGCCTAGAAGAGCCCAATGAGCCTAGAAGAGCTGATGGCTTCTGATTGAAGTGCTGGAATGGAGGCACCGCAAGGCAGCCACACGAAGAAGACCAGAGCCGAATGCACAACACCAAAGCTGGGCTCACCTGATACTAACCTGAGAAATATAGGGGCTTCGGGCTGTCATCACCTGAGAATGAGCGGGCCGGCATCACCTGAGAATGAGCGGGCCGGCGTCGCGGGCGTCAGTGAAGGGGCGAAGGAAGGCCTCCAGGGGGGCGGAGAGTGGCGGAATGCCCTGGTACTGCCATGGCGGGACAGGGGGGATGGCAGTAGGGGGGAGGGGATGACAGCAGGGGGGATGACAGCAGGGGGGAGGACAGCAGGGGGGATGACAGCAAGGGGGATGACAGCAGGGGGGAGGACAGCAGGGGGGAGGACAGCAGGGGGGATGACAGCAGGGGGGAGGACAGCAGGGGGGAGGACAGCAGGGGGGAGGACAGCAGGGGGGAGGACAGCAGGGGGGATGACAGCAGGGGGGATGACAGCAGGGGGGAGGACAGCAGGGGGGAGGACAGCAGGGGGGAGGACAGCAGGGGGGAGGACAGCAGGGGGGATGACAGCAGGGGGGAGGACAGCAGGGGGGATGACAGCAGGGGGGAGGACAGCAGGGGGGAGGACAGCAGGGGGGATGACAGCAGGGGGGAGGACAGCAGGGGGGAGGACAGCAGGGGGGATGACAGCAAGGGGGATGACAGCAGGGGGGAGGACAGCAGGGGGGAGGACAGCAGGGGGGATGACAGCAGGGGGGAGGACAGCAGGGGGGAGGACAGCAGGGGGGATGACAGCAGGGGGGAGGACAGCAGGGGGGAGGACAGCAGGGGGGATGACAGCAGGGGGGAGGACAGCAGGGGGGATGACAGCAAGGGGGATGACAGCAGGGGGGAGGACAGCAGGGGGGAGGACAGCAGGGGGGATGACAGCAGGGGGAGGACAGCAGGGGGGAGGACAGCAGGGGGGAGGACAGCAGGGGGGAGGACAGCAGGGGGGATGACAGCAGGGGGGATGACAGCAGGGGGGAGGACAGCAGGGGGGAGGACAGCAGGGGGGAGGACAGCAGGGGGGAGGACAGCAGGGGGGATGACAGCAGGGGGGAGGACAGCAGGGGGGATGACAGCAGGGGGGAGGACAGCAGGGGGGAGGACAGCAGGGGGGATGACAGCAGGGGGGAGGACAGCAGGGGGGAGGACAGCAGGGGGGATGACAGCAGGGGGGAGGACAGCAGGGGGGAGGACAGCAGGGGGGATGACAGCAGGGGGGAGGACAGCAGGGGGGAGGACAGCAGGGGGGATGACAGCAGGGGGGAGGACAGCAGGGGGGAGGACAGCAGGGGGGATGACAGCAGGGGGGAGGACAGCAGGGGGGAGGACAGCAGGGGGGAGGACAGCAGGGGGGAGGACAGCAGGGGGGAGGACAGCAGGGGGGAGGACAGCAGGGGGGAGGACAGCAGGGGGGATGACAGCAGGGGGGAGGACAGCAGGGGGGAGGACAGCAGGGGGGAGGACAGCAGGGGGGAGGACAGCAGGGGGGAGGACAGCAGGGGGGATGACAGCAGGGGGGAGGACAGCAGGGGGGATGACAGCAGGGGGGAGGACAGCAGGGGGGAGGACAGCAGGGGGGATGACAGCAGGGGGGAGGACAGCAGGGGGGAGGACAGGACCACGAAGCTTAGACATGGATGTACTGTTATGGTGTTAAGTAGTTCTCGGTCTTCTCGGTCTTCTCGGTCTTCTCGGTCTTCTCGGTCTTCTTGGTCTTCTCGGTCTTCTTACACAGATTCTCATTCTAGACAGTTTGAGATGCGGAAAACCCCACAAACAAACTTGGCGAAAATCCCATTGCAAACTGGTAGGGTTGAGCAAGGGTCGACCCTGGTTTCAAGGCGACTCACTCTCATGGCTTCAAGGCGACTCACTCTCATGGCTTCAAGGCGACTCACTCTCATGGCTTCAAGGCGACTCACTCTCATGGCTTCAAGGCGACTCAACTCACTCTCATGGCTTCCAAGAGGAGGAAGAAGGCAAAGCACACGCCCAAGGCAAGGCGGAGGAAGGCGGGCTGGAGGAGCGGGTCGAACGGGAGAGGGGACGGATGAAAGAAAGAGGGGAAGGACGAAAAGGAGAGGGGGGGGACGAAAGGGAGAGGGGAAGGACGAAAAGGGGCAAGGAGTAGGGTGGAGGAGATGAGGAGCAGGGAGTTTCCATGAAGTAGATTATGCCAGGTGTGCGAATGAGATTGAAGTTTAGACAAGTTGACAACATTGCAATAAAGATTCAAGCATTCTGAATTGACGCCACACTGCATTCTGGATTGACGCCACACTGCATTCTGGATTGACGCCACACTGCATTCTGGATTGACGCCACACTGCATTCTGGATTGACGCCACACTGCATTCTGGATTGACGCCACACTGCATTCTGGATTGACGCCACACTGCATTCTGGATTGACGCCACACTGCATTCTGGATTGACGCCACACTGCATTCTGGATTGACGCCACACTGCATTCTGGATTGACGCCACACTGCATTCTGGATTGACGCCACACTGCATTCTGGATTGACGCCACACTGCATTCTGGATTGACGCCACACTCCCTCTCCTCCCACCATCCTCTTCCTTGCAACGCTCTCAACAATCTCTCTCCCTGCAGCAGCATGGCTTATGGGTCACCTGCAGCAGCATGCATCACCTGCAGCAGCATGGGTGGGAGGAACATGGCGAGGGCGAGCACGTGGAAGGCCTTGCGCAGCACCACGTGGGGCACTGGGGGGACCGCCGCCGGGGGGGGGACAGCGAAGCCAGTGGATGGCGTGGGCGAAGCAGTGGACAGGGGGGGGGCAGAGGGGATGGTGTGGGGCGTGCGCGTGGAGGAGGGGGCAAGGCGGGAGAGAAGCGGCAGGAGGAGGAGGAGGAGCAGCAGCCAGTAGAGCCAGAGCGGCCCATTGGACAGCACCTCCCGCAGCCACCTGCAGTGAGTGGTGGCGTGGGGGGGGAGGAGGGGTAGAGGAGAGATCTAGCAGGGGAGGAGGTAAGGAGGAACAGGGGGGGAAGGGCAGTGGAGATAAGGAGGAGCAGCAAGAAGAGGGCTGTGGGCAGGAGAGCGATGGCTGGGTGGTGACGATGCGAGGAGCCAAGGCGAGACATGCAGAAGGTGATGGCTAGGCAGGATAACGGCAGCAGTGGCAGTGAGGAGGATGAGAGCGGAAGAAAGAGAAACAAGTGGTGGTGAGGGGCAGACCAGAGCATAGGAGGCGGTGGCACGTGCGTGGCGTGGGCGGCGAGGGCGAGCCAGAGCGGCACGAGGTGGCCCAGCAGCAGCAGCAGCGCGGCGTAGAATGCTGCCGTGCGCCCCCCGTGCTGGGCTGGGCGCGTGGCGCTTGCAGGCGCGGAGACGGTGGAGGAGAGCAGAGGCAGCAGCAGCATCGCCAGCACGAGGGCCTAAAGGGCGCAGGGGGGTGGCAACACAAGGTATTGGGGTGTGCTGGGTGGTGGATGATGCAGTGGTGGATGATGCAGTGGTGACAGAAGCAGGCGAATCAACAAGGCAGTTTAAACCGCAACAGCGCGTGCTGGCATCACCTGCACACTGGCATCACCTGCACACTGGCATCACCTGCACACTGGCATCACCTGCACACTGGCGTCGGCGCGCGCGAGAAAGAGGTTGACGGAGGACGATGAGGGTGGCGCGGGGGGGAGAAGGCTGAGCGGCAGCAGATGGGATGGCAGAAGCTGCAGCGCAAGGGTGGTTGGGTTGACCCACCCGTGGGTGGTGGGGGGTTGGAGGGTGGGGGAGTGGGGGAGTTGAGGGATAAGATAGGAAGACAGATGAGCGATGTGGATGGGAAGACAGATGAGCGATGTGGATGGGAAGACAGATGAGCGATGTGGATGGGAAGACAGATGAGCGATGTGGATGGGAAGACAGATGAGCGATGTGGATGGGAAGGGTGTGACAGGTGATGTGGAATTATGATGTGATGAACCAATGTTGGACGGTACCCACGTCAACACGAGAGGCAAGGCGATGTGCACCTTCGTGCTGTGCACCTCGGCCTTCGTGCTGTGCACCTCGGCCTGCGGACTTTTTTTAAGCGCCTGGGCCTGCGTATTCACTGCGTAGCGTACCAGATCCTTCCCGAGAAGCGTTCGGCATTTAAACGCTAGCTGATAGATGCTAGCGTATATTCTAACTTAGGCGTGAAGAATGGTGACATGAGGCATGGCGATGGTGACACGAGGCATGGCGATGGTGACACGAGGCATGGCGATGGTGACACGAGGCATGGCGATGGTGACACGAGGCATGGCGATGGTGACACGAGGCATGGCGATGGTGACACGAGGCATGGCGATGGTGACACGAGGCATGGCGATGGTGACACGAGGCATGGCGATGGTGACACGAGGCATGGCGATGGTGACACGAGGCATGGCGATGGTGACACGAGGCATGGCGATGGTGACACGAGGCATGGCGATGGTGACGAGAGCGTGCCTGAGAGCAGGTGATGGCGATGGCATGCACGGCATACAGCGACGTGCCCTGCGCCAGCAGTAACGCCTCGCCTGGCAGCATCACAGCAGCAGGGGCAGAGGCAAAGTGAGAATCTCATGGGTGTGAGTCGCTTGTTTAGAACAGAGTAAGGAATCCACTCAGCACTTGTGCTACTTGGGATACAGCACGAATGCATGCATGGGTGAACGCAGCTGCCAAGGCACATCGAGCCCACCCACCCACCTGCTGCCCCCCACCCACCTGCTGCCCCCCACCCACCTGCTGCACCCCACCCACCTGCTGCCCCCCACCCACCTGCTGCCCCCCGCCCACCTACCACGTGCTGCTCAGCTGCTCTCACCAGGAGTGAAGCTGCGAGGAAACTTCAGCAGGAAGGTGCGCAGCAGCAGGGCGCAGAGCAGCAGGTGCAGCGCCGCCACGCTGGCTGGATGGCGTGGGGGAGGGGCGAAGAGGGGGGCGGCAGAGGGGAAGGGCAAGCGGAGAGAGCAGGGGAGGGTGCAGGGGAGGGGAGGGCGAACGGTCATGATTGGGCATAGAGATAAGGGGGGAGAGCGAGGGCGTAAGCAGGTGGCATGAGAAGGGAGGGTGAGAAGGGAGGGTGAGAAGGGAGGGTGAGAAGGGAGGGTGAGAAGGGAGGGTGAGAAGGGAGGGTGAGAGGGGAGGGTGAGAAGGGAAGGTGAGGAGGGAGGGTGAGAAGGGACGGTGAGTGAGAGGGGAGGTTGAGAAGGGAAGGTGAGAGGGGAGCAGAGAGCAGCATGTTCGGAAGGGCAGAGAAAGCCACCTCAACCCGCCCCCGAGCATTCCATCTGCACCTCTACCTCACCTGCTGCCATCCGCCATGCCACGTCAGCATGGGCATGGCAGAGCAGCAGCACGGCAGCAGCACCGGCGGCCAGCCACGCGCCGAAGAAGCGCCGCTCGAACGCCCCCACGCCCGCATCCATGCGCCCCCCGTCGCTGCCCTCCTCGCGTCCCCCGCCCCTCCTTCTGCCCCCTGCATGCCCTCTCCTGCCCCCCTCCTCCCCCCCTCCACTGTCCTCGGCCGTCCCTCCCTTGGCTGCTGCCTGCTCGAGTGCTGCTCGGCGCAGCGCAGGGTGGCCAGCAGCGGCTGCCGTGCCGGCCACTGCAGTCAGCGAGGTCGCCAAGGACGCGTGCAGCAGCACCAGCAGCCAGGGGGGGAACGAGGGAGGAGTAGAAAGCGGTGCAGAGCGGTGCAGGGCGCAGACAGCGGCAATGGCAGCGGAGGGCGTGATGGCAGCGAGGTGCAGCCCCGGCGAGGATGCGCCCAGCCTGGTGGCGCCGCGGCGAGCAGGGGAGGGCAGCGAGGGGTGGTGAGTGCGCGGCAGGGATGGTCGTGGCAGGGATGGTCGTGGAGGGATGGTCGTGGAGGGATGGTGGTACAAGCGGAGGAGGGGCAAAGAGGGGGCCAGGCAAGTGAGGAGGAAGACGATATGATCCCCATCCTACCCCACCCCACCCTCCCATTCCCCACCTGGGCTGCAGCACGTGGAAGGCCGCTCCCCAGCCGCGGCACTCAGCGCCCACAGCGGCGGCCCACACAGCCGCCATGGCCGCCACAGTGCCGCCTGGCAGCACTCCCCGCAGCGCCACCCGCGCCACCACCCACGCCGCCGCCCCCACCAGCACCACGCTCTCGCGGGCGCCCGCCGTCTCCAGCCCCGCTAGCCCCCGTGATGCCCCGCGCCCGCTGCCGCGCCCGTCCCCCTCTTCCCCCACACCTCGCATCTTCCCTCGCCAACCCCCCTCGCCCTCTCCCATCGCCCTTTCCCGCCCGTCCCCCCCTCCCGTCCCGCCCCCTCCTTGCGGTCGGCCCATGCCCCCACCCGCGCTCGCACCCTCGCCCCGTGCTCTCATCACCCCCTCACTCCTCCCATCGCCCGCACGAGGTCGCTGCGACGCCATCGCCAATGAACGAGGCTGCGCGGGGAAAGAGGGCGAGAATTCCAGTGGGCGAAGCGAGCGATGGCGACGCCAGCAGCAGCTATCGCGAATTCGACGCACGCCGCGATCCGCAACGAGGCGAGCGGCACCAGCCGCGACGACCGCGGAGGCCAGCTCCTCGCTACTGCCGTCACAAAATAATGGGCAAGAAACAAACCTAAAGCATTTCCAGCATCATTGCTGGAGGACTACCTTGCGTAATCCCCGAAATGTGTGACAATGTCAGAGTTGATTGTATCAGGATTCCACGTCATGTTCGGCAATGATATTTGATTCAGTCCGCAACCAATGCGCGTTCTCGATATAGGGTTCAGAACGCATCTGCTGTTAATGCCTCACATGTAGAAACCACAAAAACATATTATATAACCATCCGTTATTGTATACGCGAGTTCTCAATATGGAGGATTTCGTCCTGCATTACAATCACAAGAACTGTTGTGTCCTCGATCATAAGTCCCTCGTTAAAATGTGCTTCGATTGCCCAAAAGAAACCGGTAACTGAAATCGATTATTAAACTCAGTTACTAGTTCTGTTTTACAAAACAGTCCGCGGGGCACTCTTAATTTACGTCGCCTTACAATGGATCGTATAGTTCCGCGGCTCAGTCGGTTGTCGCGTGCAATGTGGCGGTAGCATGAGAGCGCTGTTTAGAAAGTTTGTACAACATATTTCAAGGCGACTATTCTTCAGAGCGTTGTTAAAAAAAAAAAAAAAAAAAAAAATCAACGCATAGCCCGTTTGAAAATATACTTGAAAGCACATCCGTCATATTCCAAATAAGCAGATAAGAAAAAGGGGGGACGAAGCGCTATCTCCGTGTTGCATTTCATGCTACATATGTCACGCGATTATCAAAGGACAGGCGCACACATATGCGCCTTAGCTGCAGCGTCAACATCCACATTGTCATCGTTTCCGACGCTACAAGGAACAGGTGGCGTACGGGGCAAAACGTCTATAAGGCCATCTTTAGTGATGGCGACAGTGCTATCAAGAAACTGAATAGGAATTGTCAGAATCCCAACCACTAGACCATACGGATAAAAGAGCTTATTAAGTAGCGGGTCAGTGCGCTCATAACCCCCTAGGCGAACGCGCCTGTAACCCTCTCCAGGATCAATCGGGCATCCACAGTGTAGATCTACATACACCCCCCCACACTCGGAGGCCCAGGACTAAGCACAGCGTGTTAAAGAATGAGGAATGAATGCACTAGAAAACATATGGGAACAAGTAGGAAAAACCTAAAAGTGTTGTACCCCATATTATCTACCCCACTATAGCCTACACAGGCTACAGCATATAAGTTTGACACACCCCCATAGGCAAAGTGGGGGAGAACAAGAGGTCACAAGACCAGTCAAGCAAAGCATAGCAAGCTCAAGGTGGATCACAATGTCACCACACATTCCGAGCACAAGTTCACATGAAAGATTATATATAAAGGTAAACAAGCAAGTGGAGGTATAGATAGATTACAGTACAAGCAAGGTCAAGAAGTGAGCAAGTGAGGCCAAGTAGGCACAAGACCTAGCATCGTACAAAAGCACTGATGATCACAAGGCTGAAGTGCATTGGTAAAGATATCAGCAGCGTTGGCCTGAGAGGCCATGTAGGCAAGGCGCAGCTGACCACGCTGCTGCAGCTCACGAGCAAGGAAGTAGCGAAGAGCAATGTGCTTCGTTCTATGCTCCAGTCTGTGCTCCCGACACAAGGCCAGCATGGCCTTGTTGTCTACGTACAGAACTGGAGGAGAACGAGGTGGCTCTCCTAGGTCAGTCAGCAGGTAGGTGAGCCAACGTAGCTCCTGTGCAGCCATGGTCCCTGCGTAGATCTCAGCCTCAAAGCTGGAGCCGAGAACAGAAGACGAGCGGGTAAACCGCCACGAAACAGAGCCGGAACCAAGACTGAAGGTGTAACCCTATGACGACCGCTGCGTAGCCTGGTCATCAGCCCAAGAAGCGTCTGCGTGCCCAGTGAGGACCACTGAACGTCGCCCTCCAAGCACCAGCCCCAAGCCCGACGTACTGCACAATTACCGCAACACCCTCTTCGCTGCAGCCATGTGCTCTGGTCGGTGTCTCCCAGGAGCAACATAGTGTGCCAAGATGCTAAGAGGGTATGCAAGGTCAGGTCGAGTGCAGATCATCAGGTACATGAGGCAGCCAACAAGCTCTGGGTACGGGCCAGTCGGCTCTACGGACTCATCCGAAGGCAGAGCTGAGAGCGAGTGGCGAGTAGACAGAGGAGTGGCCCGAGGCGAGGAGTACATGAAGTCGAAGCGCTGAAGGACCTGCTACACCATGTGTGACTGAGTCAGGGTAGTGGTGCGCTGTGCTCTGTCCCGGGTGATCTGCAAGCCAAGGTAGCTGCGCAGTTCACCCAAGTCTGTGCACGTCTGTCTCTTCTGCAGCTCGGACTTCACGTGGGCGAGTCTAGCAGTGTCAGCAGTAGCAAAGACCAAGTCGTCGACGTACACAAGGATGTAGAACGGCGGCAAAGAGGTGTCGGTGCGTAGAAACAACGACGGGTCGGCAGTAGAAGGAGCAAACCCGAGAGCCGTAAGTGTAGTCCTCAGTGTGTCGTGCCACTCACGGGGCGCGTGGCGGAGACCATAGACTAGCCGCCAGAGGCTCCACTTGGTACCTGCAGGAAACGACCCAGTGAATCCAGGTGGGCGGCGCAGCGAGATCTCCTCGTGCAGGCTGCCCTGTAGGAAAGCATCGCTGAAGTCAAGGGAGGGAAGCTCGTAGTCGCGCTGAGCGGCTATGTGCAGCAGCACCCGAAGAGTGGTCATCTTCGGAGTGGGAGAGAAGGTCTGAAAGTAGTCAACTCCCTGCCGCTGACTGAAGCCTCGAGCCACGTAACGCGCCTTGAAGACAGGCGGAGAACCCGGCGGCCGCTTCACCCTGAAAATCCACATGCCACTGATGATGTTCGCCCCAGGTGGGGGAATCTCGTCGACGTAGGTGCCTGTGGACTTCCAGGAAGCCATCTCTGCGTCCATGGCTGACTGCCACTATGAGGAGTAGGGACCCTCGATCGCCTCAGCGTATGATCAAGGAGTTGGGATGTCTGGTGCATCCGGGTCTCCCTTAGGGGCAATCAGCATGGACATGAGATGAGGCAAAGTAGCAGCAAAACACTGGAACTCCTCCTGCCTGTCCTCAAGGACGTTCCTGCTGAGAGCACACTCACCCCCGATGGACGGAGGACAGACAGAGTCAGACTCAGCAACAAGACTAGCGCCGTAGTCTGGACGACAGTGAGCAGCGAAGTCGACAAGCTCAGCAACTAAGGCAGACGCAGCAGTGGACTCGAAGGAAGGGTCAGTGACAACAGTAGCCAGGAGGCGCGTGACAGTAGGACTGGCAGCACGAAGAGAGTCAGACTCTGGGTCAGCAAGAGCAGGAAGAGAGGACTCTGGAGGAGACCGCAAGGGGACACGTAGAAGGCTCGCAGAAGGTCAGAGGAAAACTCACCGCCTCTGTCGGAATGCAGACGCAGAACAGGAAAGTGCGAGCCGAAACTCTCTCTGAGCTGGAGACGAGCTTCGTGGATCCAGTCGATCAACACCTCAGTGACGTCACCCTTGCTGCGCAAGGGGAAGATCGTGGTGTAACGCGAGTAGTCGTCAACCACCAGCCGGAAGTATCGCTCGTGACACTGTCCACGGTCGCGGGCGGGGCCCCACACGTCCAGGTGAAGCATCTGCAGCGGAGCCTCTTTCGGAGGAAACTCGGAGGAGTGAGGAGCGGCGCGCTGCCGCCCCTCGACGCGGGGAACGTAGGTGGGGGCAGGCCCCGGAGGAAGAGGAGGGAGGGACCTGGGGAGACCAGAGACAAGGAAACGAGAGGCCAAGCCTCGGAGACGAGGCAAGGAGTTGTGACCAAGGCGGAGGTGCCAGAGGAGAGTCTGGTGAGAGAGGAGACGACACGAGTAGGGGGCAGACTCAGGTCCAGACCTGGATGCTGCAGCAAGCTCTTGACCTGACGCAGCTACCAGAGGAGACTGAGTAGTCAATGTGTATAGGCTTGACCCCGGCTGACGGGTAAACGTGGCCAAGTGTCGGCCCGTCCAAGCACACGTACAGTGGGTCACTCGCTGACTCGCAGGAGTGAACTGCTCAACCCCTCGATCCTGTAGGTCAGCACCACTCACCATGTTCGTAGAGAACGAGGGGAGGTAAAGACCTGATAGGGTGATAGAAGGGGCCGCCGGACACGGTAAGATAGTGGAGAAGTGGGCAAGGAGAGGACCCCCAGAGGGGTCCGCCAGGGAGACTGCAACTGGCCGACTAAGTGGCGTGAGTGTGGTGCGGTTTCGAAAGAAGGAGCGGGAAGCACCCGAGTCAAGGGTGAAGGTGTGCAAAACCTGAGCCGACGTGGTGCGTGAGAGAGCAGACTCACTAGCACCTGGGGCAACAAACTCACCAGTACCTAGAGTAGCAGACGCACTGGCTCCTAGAGCAGCCGCCTCACTAGCACCTAGAGCAGCAGCCTCAATGCCCGGGTCAGGCGGAACACACAGGTAACATTCACCCTCATCACTAGTAGGGAATGCATACCTGGCAGTGAGGATAGCATCATAGTCAGGAGTATAGATATATACCCTCTGCCCAAGCAGCTGCACCCAGTCAGGGAGCTCGGCTGCGTCACCAAACTCCGTACGCCAGGCGTCGCTCAGACGGGCGAAGCAACGGGAATCTGTGTGACAGAACGTCCCGCAAGGCTGACCAGTCCGAGCACCAGTGCGAATGACGTACGGACAGCGAGCAGTACTCCGTGACCCTCCAGACTGAGCGTACCACTCACGAAGCTGCTGGGGCGAAAGGACCGCGTGCGGACGACGCTGCAGCTGCACCTGGCCACTACAAGCAGCTCCCGAACTACGCACTCTAGGACGACTCCCACTACGGCCACCTCGACAACCCCAAGTAGCGTACCACTCATGAAGC